AAGCTTCTGCCTGGGTTAACAACCCTGGGCTTCAAAGATGACAGGAGACACAAAGGTATGTGATAATATATATTTTCGTTGATTTACTTAATCTTAATTATTTTAAGTAGTTCGTGCTTTTTAACAAGTTTCTTTCTCTTTGTATAGTGACCTTTCTTAGCAGTGCCTACAACGTCCAGAGCCTCCAGAAGAACTCTGTTTTTGCAGACTTGTTACCTGATGAGATGGACATGCTCTATTCAGCCTATGGAGATGACACAGGGGTTCAGTGCGCTTTAAGGTAGGCGGTCATTTTTTTGATCGCACTGATAAATTATCCAGTTGTGGTAAGTTTTTCATTTTTGATCACCTGTTTTCACTACTTAAGTATACAGGAGTTTGTCAAGGGCTGCAGCGGTGTCACCAAGCATTGGGTTGACGGGCTCCTGGACAAGATGACCGCAGGCGATCACACAAAATCTGTCAATCAGATACGACAGGTATAGTCTCTTTTTTTTTCTTTCTTCTTCTTCTTTTTCTTTTTTTGCTTGCTTAAAGAAAAGTTTAGTTCCTCTGCTGTGTTTACGAAGCTTCTTTATTTGTAACATTTCAGAAGAGAAATATAATGCTGAAACCTGACGAAACCAAGTCGAACATCTGTGACATGCAGGTACGCTGTGGCTCATGAAAGGAGATACTATAATATGTTTTGATTATTGTTTTTCTTGTTTCAACTGAAATGATTGACTAATTCAAGCTGGATATTTTCTGTTCAGATGGCAGATGGAGCTGGCCTGGGAGAGGGGAGTTCGGTGCTGGATTTCATGTCAATGAAGACTTATCCAGATATGTCTCTGGATATCACCATGCTTAACTCATTAGGTGATTGTTCTCTATCAACATGCTGTATATACATTCATATTTCTATATCAGTAATTCAGATACAATGACATTTAGATAAGAGAAGCCAGGTAAATGTGATGTTACCATAGGGGTAGGTAAATATTTGGAGTTGCTGGAATAAAGGGCATTATTTTCATGTAAACATGTTTACTATTTTTCAGCACATGCGGCAGCCACGTCTCCTTCATTGGCATAGAACAGAAATGCTGAATTTGCTGTTTCACTTTCTTTTCCACTGAATCTGTACTCAAAGTTTAGAGGAGCTTTCTGTGGGAAAAATGTATAATGTTCTGCTTAACAAAATTCAGCTGAATTGTGCAAGTTTTAGTTTAGTTTTTTATGGATATGCGCCCTTATTAAGGTCGCATGAAGTGCCCTTTAATTCCTGATAATGAAGCCATATTTTTTTTGTATATCAGGCAAAACGGTGAAAAAAGAGCCAGGTAATGAGGAGGGCCAGCAGCCTTTTGATGATGCTGATAAACTCCTGCAGGAGTTCCAAGAAGCGCAGGTGGATAGAGTTGGTTCCAGACCCTCATCCAACCTGTCCTCACTCTCTAATGCCTCCGAGAGGGACCAGCACCACTTAGGTATCTCCAGCAAATGCCTTCTTTTCCCTTTATTTTAATGATTATATGAAATGAGCTACTAGTGCCAGCAATACAACATAAGAACCATTTTTTCGTGCATCCATAGGGAGCCCATCTCATCTGGGTGTTGGGGACCAGTCTGAAATGGTTCATGATCCCTATGAGTTCCTGCAGTCTCCAGAGCCAGAGAACACGGCCAACGGCTGACCACACACTGCCGCACTGTTATCCTGTTGCTAACCACTCTGGCTACTCTGTTATGGACTGTTGAATTGCCGTGAAGAAAGCAGGAGCCTCAGACCTTTGTTAAAGACTGAACATAAGTGTACAGACTAGTGTGATTGTGTGTTTTTTGTATGAGTTGCAGCACTTGAAAAATAAATGTTTGTGCCTGTGTTTGTGAATGTGTGCACTCAGTTATTAGACACAAATCTTTTACTTATTCTGATTATACACAGTGTTGTTAAAAAGCATTTGCCCTCTTTTTTTTGCATGTAAATGCAAAATGCAGTTTTTAAATGCTGTTTTCATTTATTAGGGTAAAGAGCAGAATTCATGGTTCCAGCAATTAATCGTCCAGACGATAATACTATCACCACTATGGACTGCTGGTGTGATGTATTTTTGTGAAATTAGATGTTTTACTGCAGATGTAACAGGAATCAAACCTTCCATAAAGTTCTGCTTTTATCTGTGGGTTTTAAGTGGTGGAAATGAAGTTTCTCTAAAGGGTGGCTGGCCTCTCCCTTAGAGATAGGGTGAGGATTTCGGCCATCCGGACGTCAGAGTAGAACCTCTACTCCTGCACATTGAAAGAAGCCAGTACAGGTGGTTCAGGCATCTGACAAGGATGCCTCCTGGGTGAGGTGTCCTGAGCATGTTCCACCAGGAGGAGGCCTGGTGCAGACCCAGGACACGCTGGTGAAATCATATTTCCTGGCTGGCCTGGAGAAGGTGGCTGGGGGGGAGGGAGGTTTGAGCTTCTTTGCTTAGGCCGCTGGCCCTGTGACTCAAATTCAAATTTTATTTGTCACACACACACAACCATACACAGTATGACATGGGGGTGAAATGCTTGTAGCTGTACAATGCCCGACCATTAAATGACAGAAGAAAAGTTTTACAATATTTACAATTTACAGTTTACTACAAAAATTTACAAATTAACTTAGGAATTTACAGTAAAGAATGTGCAGATAGCAGAAGAGATTATAAAGATAAGGATTATAAATGATAGGAATTATAGGATTATAGGAAATGTGTGGTGGTGACGTGTGTGAGAGTTCAGTCTTATAGTGACGTGTTTGGGAGAGTCCAGTCCTACACCTGGTTCAGGCCCCGAATAGCCTGGGGGAAAAAGCTCCTCCTCATTCTCTCTGTTTTGGCCTTAAGGGAGCGGAAGCGCTTCCCAGACCTCAACAGTGAGAAGAGTCCATTGTTGGGATGGGAGAGGTCCATCATAATCTTCCTAGCTTTGGACTTGCACCGCTTGGTGTAGATGGACAGCAGGTCAGGGAGCTCTGATTGAATGATGCGTTCTGCCGAGCGCACCACCCTTTGCAGATCTCGTCTGTCCTGCTTGGTGCTGTTCCCAAACCAGGTGCAGATGTTTGCCGTCAGGACGCTCTCAATGGTGCAGGAGTAGAAGTTCTTGAGCACCTTCAGTGGCAGATGGAAGTCTCTAAGTCTTCTGAGGAAGAAGAGATGCTGACAGGCTTTCTTAACCAGGGTGTTGATGTGACAGGACCATGACAGGTCCTGAGTGATGTGGACACCCAGGTATCGGAAACTGTCCACTCTCTCCACTGGCGTGCCACTGATGATGAGGGGTTTGTAATTCCTCGCCTGCTTTGTAGTGAAGTCCACGATCAGCTCCTTAGTCTTGCTGATGTTTAGGAGGAGGTTATTCTCCTGGCACCAGGTCTCCAGGTTCCTAATCTCCTCCAGGTAGGCCGTCTCGATGTTGTCGGAGATCAGGCCCACAACAGCAGTGTCGTCAGCAAACTTGACAATGGAGGTGGTGTCGGATGTGGCTACACAGTCATAAGTGTACAGTGAGTACAGCAGGGGGCTTAAAACACAGCCCTGAGGCACTCCAGTGCTGAGTGAGATGGAGGGGGAGACTTGTTTTCCCACCCTCACTGATTGGGGTCTGTCTGTGAGGAAGTTGAGGATCCACTGACACAGTGATGAGCTGAGTCCTAGAGCCGTCAACTTGGTGAAAAGCTTAGAGGGAATTATTGTGTTGAATGCTGAACTGTAGTCCACGAACAGCATCCTAACATAATTCCCTCTGCCAGTGTCCAGGTGACTCAGGGATGTGTGGAGCAGGTGAGATATGGCATCATCTGTGGAACGATTAGTCCGGTAAGCAAACTGAAGTGAGTCGATGGTGGCAGGAAGTGAAGAAGTGATGTGATCTCTCATCAGTCTTTCAAAACACTCGGCCCAGATAAGTCACAGGGGCCGAGTTCTGTCATGGCATCCGATGCCATTTTTATTCAGTATTTTTCTTATTGTTGAATCATTAACTGAGACTAGTGAGGCCTGCAATTCTTTAGATGCTGTTCTTTTGTGATCTCCTGGAGGAGTCACTGATGTGCAATGGCTCTCACTGTGGTTGACTAGAAATGTTTAGTCTTTTTCGGAGATAGATGTCAATTACTTTCTCATCTGTTCTTCCGTTTCTGTAGATAGTGGTATGATGTCGTATGTGTTGCTTTTTGGACTTGTTTAGCTTGCTTTACCTTGTCAGATCGGTTCTATTTAAGTGATTTATTGATTCAATCACAATTATTTTAAAGGAGTGTGTGCGTGTGTGTGCGTGCGTGCGTGCGTTTGGGGGGGGGGGGTGCTAACTTTTTCATACAGGACCAGGAAGGCTTGAATAAATACAAATAAATAAATGTATAAATACAACTTTGTCTAATATTACAATTTGATTTATGATGTGAAGCATGTAAGTCTGACATCGCTGCAAAAAATAAGAAAACAGGAAGGGTACAAGTACTTTCTCACAGCACTGTATATACACTATGGGAGCACAAAAATAGGAAATGTCCGTGTTATCCAAATATCGTGCATTTGCAGCGAAAACGCAGTTTCAGAGTAACTGAACTGCTGAGGCCTCGGGTTTTCAGCATGGGTAAGCTTCCACCTGTAAGTTCTAACTGAGCAATGTACGCTGTTTGTCTCGGTGTGTTGGGGAAGTGAAACTGAAGCACTATGGGTGCTGCGACATATGCATTTAGCACGGTCTAATATGAGTTGAAAATAAAGCACGGGCTTTATTTTTGAAAGCAGAAGTACCCTGTGAGCACATGTGTCTGTCTGCAGTTCCTTCTTGTTCTGTGGAAGCATTGGTTTCAAATTCCCTGACACCTGTAAGTATTTAATAGCGCGTTTAATAGGCGAGTTGCATGCACATCATCTGGCGAGTCAAGGTTGACAAAGAAGAAAATACACACAAACACATGCACACAAAAAAGGGGAAAAGGGCAGGTATCGCGAAGAGAGCCATTGCGCATGCGCTGTCGCACAGTTTCCATAGCGCTGCACCGTCCTGCTGAGTGAGTTGATTCTTCTACTTCACGTCCTTCGGCTTTCACAAATCCAAGGACACCGGAGGACCGGTGTGCCCGTTTTACCCAACATACGGGAGCTTTAAAGTTATTTGTCGATGTTGTCGTGTTTTTATTTTCATGTGACTTTTACTCATAAGAAACACCTGCTTGGCTGACAAAGTTATGATGGGACATTAGGCGGTGAAAATCGAATGAACTGAAGAAAATGTAATGTTATGGTCGCTGTCGCAAGTAGAAAGGTAAGTAATTATGGGTTAAGACTAGTGTCGTCGTTATTATTATTAGTAGTAGTATTAGTATTGTTATTTTAACGGGTACAAATGGAGTCAGCTAGATTGATTGCAAATTAAACAGCCGGGTTGATCCACTAAAGCAACCATAAACTGATTGCCAGCTACTCGCTTTAGTTGTTAAGCAAAGCAGAGGCAACAAAACTAGCTGCCAGGAATACAGCTGGATGGCTCTGTTGCTTCTTTTTCAGATTTCTAATGCATAGATGAACAAGAACATAATTAACTGCCTTTTTTGCAGAAAGTCCAGAAACAATTGACCTTTTATGCTTTTTAAGTTAAACGGATTGCACAATTCATATGCTGTGCTAAGGGTAAGGCTAAAAGCAAGACATGTGATTGCAAGGCCTGTGAAAAAGAAGGGGATGTAAAAGTTTGTGGAAGTCACTTTAATCAGCTGTTTCCTGCAGGCTTTGCGACTGAGTCTCCGTTCTTGTTTATTTGCCTTTTTAATTTAGTGGCTGAGAAATTAATGCTGCTTTTATGAAGTTTAAAATGTAAGAAATGTAGTTCGTACTGCTCCTCAGTTACACTTCACTTTACTATCACAGTGCAGTGCTTATATGTTTCTTTTTAATAAATATAAACCCTTGAAAGTAAACCAGAGTGGCTGGATCACTGTAGAACATCTAGCTGCACCTAATACAGTCTCGGTATAGCACCATCTGTGGATGAACAGTCACTGCCATTATGCTCAACTCATTTTCCTAGCTCATTTCCCCAGCAAATGTGGCCACACTCTGCCGGTACTCTACTTTTATGTGTACTCCAACCTGTCCTTATTCTTCTCTCGCACCATAGATGAACTGCTTCAGTCAGAGGTTCAGACAGACAGCTCCCATGCTTGGCAGCAGCAAAAATGAACTTGTCCCCTCCAAGCCTCCCAGAAGGAACGGATGGTCGTGGCCCCCTCAAGCCTTCCAGGTGGTTGGGTGGTTGGTGTACAGCTATCTCACCATAGTCAGCTTTGGTATCTATATCCCGCTTCTGCCTCTGCCGTGGAAACATGTGGCCTATACTGTATCCTTAACACACAGCGGGTCTTTCTTATTTGAATATGGAGCAAACATTAGCCTGTGCTGGGTTTTTTTTTGTCTTTTTTTGTCTGTGCTGCTGAACAGGACAAGGATTTTGTTGTGTGGCATGTCTGTATGGGCTTCAGTCACACCCAGTGTGACAGACTTTCTTTTTCTGGCCCAAAAGACATAATCAGTGGCCTTTTTGTAAGCTGTTGAATGCCGCATGATGTCAACCACAAGAACAGTCAATGTCTTCAGTCTTTATTTCTCATGCACAAGACTTGTACAGCAGTTGTTCTCTCATACTAGTCCCACTTAATATTTTTTCACATTACTGCACATTTATCACACGCTGCAATATTCTTTAAGGGCGTTTAAAAAAAAAAAAAAAAAAAAAAAAAACTTCCTTGACTGTTGTTTTGTGCAGCTGATGGGCGTAGCGTTTATTGTGCACTTATTCGCACACATCGCAGTTCTCACTGTAGATCCAGCAGATGACAGCGTGAGGGCCAAGCAGAGCTATTCCACGCCGATGCCTCTCTTTGACCGAACAAAGCAACCGCATGTTATCCACGACCTGCACTGTTATCTTTGTGATGTGAATGTGTATGTATCCTGAGCAGCAGTCTCTAATGTTCATTTGCATTTTCAAATTGGCAGGTACCCTATCACAAATGAGGAAAAACGTTTTTTTTACCCCTGGAGAGTCTTGGGTCGATTTGTGGCTCTAAGACCAATAGTGTATGCATTTTTCTAAGACCCTCCAGGGGTTAATAAAGTGTAATGATGTAAAACATTAAATCTTCTTGCAGTGGCCCCAAAGTAAAACACTGTGGTGTTTGCAACAAGTGTGTGGAAGACTTTGATCACCATTGCAAATGGCTGAACACCTGTGTGGGTGGAAGGAACTACCGGTAAGTTGAAGTTTTTGGATTTATGAGCCTTATCGTTGCTGTCCACATGAAGTAAGACTTGCTCTATAAATTCATCGGTTTTCATGCATTACTTTCAGGTACTTCTTCTTGGCACTGTGCTCAGCTACAATAGGCGTCTTTCTGCTTATTGTGGTTGTGTTGTTCGTATTTATTCAGCATTATCTCAATCCGTACAGCTTACGGACTGCACCGCAGTTTGCCGGTGAGTGACCTGCAGTATAATCTTACCAAGTCGGTGGAAATTGCAGCACTGAAAGCTGTCCTTTGTTCCTTCTTTTCAAAGATGTGTCGGGGAATAGTACCTGGCTGATGTTTTTGCCGTTAGCTCCCATAAAGACGAGTTCAGCTGGTCTCCTAATACTATCCTTCGTAACAGTCATGCTGAGCACCACCTGCTTACTGCTGCTAAGCCATCTGCTGGGCTTTCACCTTTACCTCTGTAAGTGAATTTTGGAGACATACATGTCATAAGGTTATTTTCCCCTCTTCCAGTGATTAAGCCTCACTATATCCTGTGGTGTTTGCTCCTCACTCTGGTTTATAGATCATAAAGCCATAAGCACGTATGATTATGTTAAGCTGCAGCGGCAAAAAGAAGCAAAGAAACGAGACGTCGAAGCAGGAAATGGTACTCGTAATGCAAAAACTCATAAGGCTCCACAGGTCAGGCTTCTTTTCTGCCTCTGTTATTCACCTGTTTAGTCTATTGTATTCAGTAGCTTTGTTTTTTTTTTTCTTTTAATAGAACCAAGAGGCCTCAGTTGACTGTGAGCCATCATTGTCACAACGTTCAAGGTAAAATATTTCCTTTCTGTTTTGTAACGCTTCTTTTAAAGCTGTTTGTTTTAAAAAATAGTAATACCTCTCTGGCTTTCTTGAAGTTCTTGCAAATTTCATGATAAAAATCCGTTCACCAGCCGGCTTTCGGAGTCCATATGCACAGAGGTAAGCATGTCTGCTTATATCTTCTTTGATTGATTTATGATGGATCTAATTTGTGACACATTAAAGTGTTCGAGGGTTTGTTTATGTTTTGTTTTTTTATAGCTGGAAAACTTTAAGAAATCAGAGAACAAATTCCGTTATGGTACAGAAAATCCCAGTGAAAATATAGCAAGTAAGTATTCATCTGTACTCTTTACCAATGAGCTCTTTTATACTTTACAGTTACTTTATACTTTACACTTTTTGTAGGTAGGCGTTTTCAATAACTCTTACACAAATAATAGCGCAAATATTTAATCAGCCAATCACATGGCAGCATCTCAGTGCATGTAGACATGGTCAAGACAACCTGCTGAAACATCAGAATTAGGAAGAAAAGTGATCGAAGTGACTACACGTGTAGCATGGTTGTTGAGGAACTGCTGATCTGCTAGGATTTTCGCGCATGACCATTTCTATGTTTTATAAAGGATGGTAAGAAAAAGAAAATATCTATTGAGCACAAGTTTTCTGGTTGAAAATACCTTGTTGATGCCAGAGGTCAGAGGAGAATGGCCAGACTGCTTCAAGCTGATAGGGAGGCATCACTATCTGAAATAATCGCTTGTTACAACCAAAGTCTGCAGAAGAGCATCTCTGAATGCATCAAACCTTGAAGCAAATGGGCTCAGGAGAAGACCACACCGGGTGCCTCTCCTGTCAGCTAGAAATAGGAAACTGAGACTATAATTCACATGGGTTCACCAAAATTAGACAATAGAAAGCTGTGAAAACTTTGCTTGGTCTGATGAGTCTCAATTCTGTTGCAACATTCAAATGGTAATGAGTTTTGCACAGACACCATCAAAATAACCATGAGAGCATGGATCCAACCTACTTGTATCGACAGTTTAGGTTGGTGGTGTAATTGTGTAGGGCAGTGATTTCCAAAGTGTGGGCTGGGGCCACCTAGTGTGCTCCAAAGGAACTTGTAGGTTGGCCGCAGTAATAACAGAAATTCTGAAACTATGGACAGTTTCATATTTATATACATATATTGAAACTGGTAATAGACTGTGGTTAGTTTGTATTATTATTCATTACTCTGACCTACATTTACTCCTCTGGTATTGAGGTTTGTCCCAGTGACACATGGGTCACATATTGGCGGTAACACTTTGCATACAGGTTTGCATATGACTGAGTAACATTAGCAGTTTATAGCCAACAGCCTATGTTGTTGTTTTGTTTTTGTGTTGTTGTTTTTCAAATTAAAATTTCCATGAAAAGCATCACTTTCTCTTGTATTTTTATTAGAGTGAAGATTTAAGATTTTCTTGCTTTTAAGTTGGCCACAGTATTCTTGACTTTGTGAATGGCTAGTGTAAGGGATGTTTCCCTGGCACACTTTGGGCATTTCATCTTTTGATCGCTGCTTACAACAGAAAAATTATTCATGTTACAAAGCTCAATTCATCATCTTAAACCATGTACTCAAATCCAATAGAGCACCTTTGGGATGGGGTGGGACAGGAAGTTCACAATGCAACTGTGTGAAGCATTCATATGATAAGTATTTCCAGGATTTGTTGAATCTGTGCCACAAACAACTATGGCAGCTCTGAAGGCAAAAGTGGTTCAATCTGGTACTAGCAAGGTGTACCTAATGAAGTGTCCTATTGAGTGTATGTCAACTTCATTTACAAATATGAAACCCCCGCAAAGTATTAGAAATCTGCAGTATATGCATACTACTTCAGAACTGCAAACAATTATTGGAATTATTGCAGTAAAGTGTACAAGTGTTTATGCTGAGCGTAAATGAAGTGTGTTCTTCTACATTATCAGGTAAGTTTATTAGTATGTATTAGGAAAGACTGTCGGCACATGAAGTTTGTAAGTAATGCTTATCTCCTCTGTTTGACAGGGGGAATAGCTTTGAGGGACATCAAAAACTGGAAGCCTGACAATGATGAAGAGTCTCAGAGTGCCACTGTGAAGTCTGTTTGCAGTGTTCCTGGAGTGCAGGACCCTCTAGGCAGCTCAATCATGACTCCCGATGATATTTAAACAAACAGATGTCTGCGTGGTGGTGGATCAGAAGATGCTGCTCTCAGAAAATATTTATTTTGACATTATCAAAACAGAACAGAAAGGTTGGCTATTTACAAGAACAGAGTACTGTGTGGACCTTTGCACTTTTATATGACTGTTTTTGTTTTTTTTGTTTTTTTGTATACCAACTGCATAACCTGACCTGTCATTGGGTTTCATTCATTTTTTTAATAATTTTGTTTGTTTGTTTTTTAATGACAACAGTTGAATTATTTAAAGCAATGTTTTATCTCACTGACTTAGTTAGCGAGGCAGGTCAGTCTCTGTTCCATTTCAGTTAGACAGATGTATTTTTGCATCTTTTTGAAAACTAAATATATCACGGTGTAGTTTCCTGTTCATTTCACTGATGGTAACATTTGAGAATCTTTCCGTTTTTATCTGATCACCAAAGAGAGAACCTTATATGGGAAAAATGTTTTGTCTAACTGTGAAGAGTGGAGCAGATAGTGGCCTGAAATAACACTTCAGCTCTCTGTTCCCTTTCTATGAACAACCGATTTTAAAGTTGACGATGTTAAGCACACCCTTTTTTGCTAAATATGACAGTAAAGAATATAAAAACCATGTTTGCTCTGTTATTTTATTTCTTAACTTCCAGTGTCTACATCATTTTACAAAATACAAATATGTATCTGACTATTTGCTTTGTTGACAATATACAGCATGAAAAATAGTCATACAGCTTTGACACACACCTAAAGTTGGAGCATTAAGGTAGGACTTTTTGGAATGGGTTACAGTTGAAGTCATACATTTTAATGAATGACAAAGGATGTTGCAGTTGCAAATCCCTTCAGTTTGCCAGCAGGAGGCTCCAGAAATGGAATTAGCAGTTTGTTTGTTTGTTTTTTAAACAATATGACTGTGTGGGTGTGTGAGCTTTCCTTTGTTTATTAGGAAATGTGCCATGTACACAGCCAACAGTTTACAGATTTAGTGGAGATGGTGCAAGAAACTGGCTCACTTTGCAACAATTGTCAAACATGTGAATGTCATTCTTACAACCACAGCCTTTAGCATCAAATTTCTCATTCTTCATGTATATATGGGTCAAACCACAGCTGTACCAGGCCTGCAGCTTGTGTATGCTGCTTTTGAAATCAATCAAAAGTAAGTTTTGGGGCACATTTTCACATACCCCGCACATGACTGCTGCTTGAAGCATTTGTCTGATTTAGTCTGCCTTTTTCTCTAAAAAACAAAAAAGCCACTAATCATTATGTTTCTTTTGAGACTTGTTGTTATTGCATTTTTTTTTCAATTACACGTTTTATTTAAGAATATATAATAAATGGATTGTTGCAGGGAGTTTTAAGTGTACATTACTTGGATTGTACATATTTTCACCACTAGAGGGCTGTAGACACCAGTGTCACCTGGATGGGTGAGCTGGGAATTTGTATCGGTGTTTGCATACCAACGTATAGTGTGTCCTTTTTATTGTCTCTCAGAGAGGACTGTGTGATGTGTCAGCTTTGTTGTTCCTGCCAAGTCTGATCCTCCACTTTCTGTTGATGAGGTCACTGAACTTGTTCACCTGGTACAAAAAGTTGTCATGCTTAGAGATATCAAGTTAATTTTTAAGTTTTGTACAATGCAAGATGGATGGGTGTAGGAGTAGTTTACATCAAATATTATGATGTGGCATAGAAGGGGGGGGGGAGAGCACACACCTCACATCTGTATAATTTAAGTCTAATTTAAGTGTATAATTAAAATCCTGCACCACTCAGTAACAGTGGTGAGTAAATATAGGTATTTATGATGGTATTAATATGCAATACAACAGCCTTAAACTGAAAATGATGATCAATACTTGCATGTTGCTATATGCCAGAAGTGGTGAGGGTCTGTCAAAGTGAAAATAGACGGCCCAAAACCTTTGAATCCACCCACGCTACGTGCCTGATCTAACGAGACCGCAAAAAAAACCACACTTCCCCTTTTTGTTTATTTTTATTTTACATGAAAAGAGAAATATCATATTAACAAAAGTGTAAGCATATCTGTGAAATCTGTTTCATGAACCTGACACCTGCAGTATATTTCCTGTATGTGGACTGAAGCTGGCATTTTCTAGTCAACCCAGATTAGGTGGTATTTTTTATGGGTAATACTAGTGTATTGCAAGTGTGGCAGGGCAACTCTTATTGCTAAGTCTGATCATAAAGCACTTTCAGTGTGTACTTGTTTTCGCTGTAGCCTACTACTAACCACACACTGGTGCAACTGAAGTAGCTTGAGTTAGACTATTATGTCATCAAGTGATTGCACTCTGTCCAGGCTGCTTTCATCATGATCAGCTATCACTATTCTCTCTTCGTTTGCTTGTAGGCTTGCATGCTTTCTGCTTATATCCTTGTGTTTGAGTTGCATACATCAGACCTTTGTGCCACAGTTGAACCAACCAAGACTAAAGGTTACATAATGTCCATCCACGTCCAGCCGTTATGGGCTACTGGTTGTGTAACACATTACAGCCCTGGACATAAGAAGAGTCATATTCATGAGTATTTGTAGACATGCATCCATTCTGAAAAGATTGCTTATTAAAGTCTGACGGGTTTCCCCTTGAGATAATTCCCTCTGGCCATCCTGTGTTTGGACAAAAGCCAAAGATTGTTATTGCTTGTTATTGCTACTGTGTGTGACCACTGGCCTCTCTCATGCATGTCCTTCCAAGGTTCATGGCTACAGACAGCTGCTATTATTAATAAAGCTATCATTTCGTACGATCCTCCATCCCTTGTTTACATCTACTATCTCCTCCCCTCAAAGCACGAAAAGATGCTGCTGGTTGTTTATCACAGCTCCAGTGTGGTATCGTCGTGCCTAAAACGAGGAGGCGAGGAGGAGGGGGCGGTAAAAAAATAAAAAAAAAAAGAAAAGAAAGAAAGAAAAAGAAAAGAGAAAACAGCTCGGCGCACTCGACAGCAGCCAATCAGCAGTCTGGTTTCTCTTCAGCATCTCAGAGGGACTGAACCATCGGGTAGTCTTGATCCCAGGCAACAGGGAGGAAAGATAGTTGAAGGCTCCTCGCTGCTTAATTATGATTTTGTGAAATTCGCGAGGAGCTGGAGGATTACGTCACCAGGTAATTAAAACGATTTGTCGTATTTACTTCATAAACAATAAAAGATACAAAAAACGTAGTTTGTTTTGACTACAAGGTAGACCTGCATGTTTTCACAACCTGGAAAAAATGATTGCCAGCCTACACTGATTCATGTGATTCATTTGCGGGTCTTTTTTTTTTGCAAGTTTCTGCATGTATTTCCTTTTTATTTAGAATTTCCTGTAAAAGGATTTATTTTGACACTGCTCGATTCGCGCATACCTGGGCTGTACCTAATGTTCCGGACAGGCAGACTCGCAAGGGCTGACAATAACAAACGGATCACGTGGACGTGTGAATCTGGCGTTTGCAAGTTTATGTAACACGTTTCGCTCAATAAACGCACTCGGACTCTGTGGTTTAAGCAGCAGCTGCAGCCATGTCCACTGATATAAACAAGAGCTTTCTCCCCTCATCCGTTTATCCTTTGAACGCAATGAGAGCGAGAGTGGAAGCTCCTTTAATAAGCACCATTAATGGTTAGAAAAAAGAGGGGGGGAGCTGCTGGGCTACGAGTAGGTAGTTACATAATTAGGCACGGGAAGAAAAAAAAGATCTGTGTCATAATCCGATGCTCAGCTCTGCTTAATTTCAAATTAATACAAGATAATCACATTAATATGTCCAATTGCGACTGTCTGTGGTGGTATTAGGTTGTGGTTTTGAAGGAGCCATTAGTGCATTATTTTGGAAGCAGTGTCACTAAAGCACTGCGCGAACACAATATGTTTAATTCCTCTCATCTAATGGCGCTGCTGCCATTGGTTGAATTAGGTATGGCTGAGAGGAAGACAGTCACTGAGTTTGTCCTAGATTTCACTGTGTAGGTTTTTTATTGCACTCGACCAGGAGCCTTTGGGTTCTGTCGCAAACAATTAATCTCACGGTGTAAATCATCTTATTTTGTTTGTGATGACTCAAATTTAGGTCAGATATGCAAAGTCAGTGGGGTTTTTTAGACAGTGAATACAAATCAAACGGGAGGATAGCTGGCATTGGTGTGCTCTGCTATATTTTTATGTTTCAGCTGAGACATTTGGTTGCATTTCCACGAAATTAAAAGACTCTAAAATGAAAAGTTATACAACACAGTCTACCCTCCCAAAAATCTTTAACCGTACTCCCTTCAGAATGCATTTTGTTGCTGGCTCAACAGGCCTTTCTCCCCATGAGCCATGTCAGGGACGCTTCTGCTGTCTCTGGCATCATGTATCCTGCTCCAATGTGCAGCTGCATAAGGATCCCTGGGCTTTGTTATTACCTCCATTTGCTGCTGCCAACAATAACCACTGCGTCGTGTTTTAAACATCTTATTTTTCTACAGCGTAATGCTTGCCAAGATCTCTGGCTCACAGAGCTGTTCAAGTGTTTGGGGAGGCGAGGAATGACAGAGACAGCGTGGTGGTGACCTCAGACCTGGGCTGCGGCATGCTAATGTCGTGTCCTCTCTCCTTGTGTGGAGAGTGAGGACTGGGGACTGAACAGACCGGGATATATTTAAGGGGCTGTATTGAACTTTTTTGAAGAAACATGGGGTTGTTAGAACTAAACAAGCGACTTGAGCGCAGGGTGAAGCCCTGAGCAGACACCGGGGTGGTAACAGTTGACTGACATGGTCACATTCCAGAGCAGCTGCCTGGAAAGGATAGGTGATCTAGATAGAAAGCAGATGGGATCCCTCCATCCCCACTCACCATGATGGCATGATGAAGCAGTAGGTTACAGACACTGTCTTTTCTCTCTCTCTCTCTCTCACTCTGACAACAGTGTCATCATTTTGTGACTTAAACACCATCTGCCAAACTAACAGATTAACACCAAATTTTTCTCCCTCTTTTTTTTTCTTTTTTATCGCCTGCATGTTGTCTGCTGTCTGATCTGCTCCCCTAAGAATGAATAGAATGTTCCACTCGTGGCAATGTATTGTTGCTATGAATAGACGCAGTTCAAAATGGGTCGATTTATAGTTAAAGCACTCATCTGTGCAGCGTATTGCCAGAAGGAGAGTGTATGTAAGCATGCTGTCATCCAGTAACAGATTTGTCTCTGGAGATCTGCCCTTAACCAAACGGCTTCTCATTTGTATGTGGCAAAGTGGGACAAAAAAAAAGTGGCACAAGGCAAATTTGATCTGTAATGGTAATGTTTGTCTATTTTTTCTGTATCGGGCCAAATCCAAGAAAAGGCAATGAAACAAAGACTTTCAGAGGGCCACATTTCAGTTCATCTCAGTGTGTGTTGTGCCTTATCCCAATGAACTCTGTGCAGTGTTAATTTTATGTATCATTTGAGGAGGCTTGTTGTACTGAGTACTTGGGCACTTAACACTGCTGACAATAAATTCAAGGAGGACGGTGAAAGGATTCCTTTGTTTCTGTTAGATTTAGTTGCTCTCATTAAAGCACAAAGGAAAACACAGTGAGCAGCTAGTGTACTGAAAGGATGTGGATCTCCACAGAGAGTGAGGTATATAATCACAGTACCTCAGTGTCGCTGCT